CACACACACATTACACACACTGTGCACATTACACACACTGTGCACACACATTACACACACACATTACACACACTGTACACATTACACACACTGTGCACATTACACACACTGTGCACATTACACACACACATTACACACACTGTGCACATTACACACACTGCACACACTGTGCACATTACACACACATTACACACACTGCGCACACACTGTGCACATTACACACACACATTACACACACTGTGCACATTACACACACACATTACACACACTGTGCACATTACACACACTGCAGGAGGTGAGTGAAACTGAAACACTACAAACAGTCTGTATCAAGTGTTTGCTTATTACTAGGTAATAAATGTGTAACAAATATGTAATAACTGTGTAATAACTGATGACTACTATGTGTAATTAGCGGAGTTGAATGATCAGAAGATCCTCGGTGAGGCTACAGGAGGCAGGGGCAGTAAATTGAGACATTGGATTAGTTGGAAAATGAATAAAGTGTATTATACAGGGACAAAAGTGAGATACAAAATATACAACAGCTGCAGCAAAGAAAAATCAAGCAACTCACTGAAACGTCCTTGTGAACCGGGTCTGTTTGCCCAGGGTGGAAAACAGAGTCCAAGCTGCTTCAGAGTCCAGTGTTCATTATTTTGAGGGGGTAAGATGTCCATAAAGTGCAGTAGATTGAACAGTTCAGTGGTGGAGGCAGCTGGAGGAGGTGGAGATAGACGACAGGTTTAGCATTAGCATGAAAAGCTAACAAGAACAAAGCCATCAATCAATACATTTTTTCAAAGTTTCAGTTTCAGTTCCAACTCACCAGTTCAGTATTGGTTCAATGTCCTGAAAGCACACGTGACAATGTCGCACAACGGCTCTGGTTCTAAAAAGGTCTGAATGGTGAAGTTAGAAATGTGAAACATGAGAATATGAAATGAAAACATGTAGATGTAGTGACCTTCAAACTCTGTCTGGGAGTTTTACAGTGACAGTGACAGGGGCACAGGGGCAGGTGTTTTAACTGTGTGTGTGTTTCAGGTGAATCGGCCCCGGCTCCAGAGAAGGGTCCTGTTCTAGAGGGAGAAGACGCAGAACTGGTGGAACAACTACGGAAGGTACACACACACTATACACACTCACACTATACACACACACTATACACACACACACTATACACACACACACTATACACACTCACACTACACACACACACACACACTATCACACACACACACACACTATACACACACACTATACACACACACACACACACACTATACACACACACACTATACACACACACACTATACACACACACACTCACATATACACACACACTATACACACACTACACACTCACACTATACACACACACACACACTATATACACACACACACACACACACTACACACACACACACACTATCACACTATACACACACTATACACACACACACACACACACACTATACACACACACACACACACACTATATATCACACACACACTATACACACACTATACACACACACTATACACACACACACACACACACTATCACACACACACTATACACACACACACACACTATACACACACACACACACTATACACACACACTATACACACACACACTATACGCACACACACTATATACACACACACACTATACACACACACACACACACACACTATACACACACACACTATATACACACACACACTATACACACACACATACACACACACACACACACACACTATACACACACACACACACACACACTATACACACACACACACACACTACACACACACACTATACACACACACACTATACACACACACACACACACTATACGCACACACACACACACTATACACACACACACTATACACACACACACTATACACACACTATACACACACACACACACTATATATACACACACACACACTATCACACACACACACACTACACACACACACACTATACACACGCACACACTATACACACACACTATACGCACACACTATACACACACACACTATATACACACACACTATACACACACACTATATACACACACACTATATACACACACACTATACACACACACACTATACACACACACACTATACACACACACTATACACACACACTACACACACACATTACACACTACACACACACATTACACACTACACACACATTATTTACACACTATATACACACACACACACTATACACACACTACATACTACACACTACACACACACACACTACACACTATACACACACACTACACACTGTACACACTCTGCACACACACTACACACACTGCACACACACTACACACACACACTACACACACACACTCTACACACACACACTCTACACACACACACACTACACACTCTACACACACACACTCTACACACACACACACTACACACACTCTACACACACACACACTACACACACTCTACA